AGAGAGAGAGAGAGAGAGAGAGAGAGAGAGAGAGAGAGAGAGAGAGGAATTAGAATCGGTTTGATCATGGAGATGAAGATGGAATTGCTCTTGTTCGTTGAAGAAGAACTTGACTTTGGTTTGTTCCACGTCGAGTCGGAAGTTGATGAAGCCATTTCTGCTCAATGGGAGCTCGTCAATGCCTCTAATGCTGACTCGAATCACCTTCCAGAAACCTTAGAATCTCTTTTAATCTTTCGATCTCACGGTTGCCATGCCCTCGCCCTTGGCATTTGAGCTTTGCCTAGCCATGGCGAGGTCGACCTCTCCAGGGGTGAGCAAGGCCAGTGGCTAGCGGGGGCAAACTTTGCCAGAGGCTGGCGAGGACCTCACCGATCTCGCCTCTGGCCGGTCCGGCGATTGGCTAGAGGAAGAAGGAAAGAAAAAAATAGAATGAAGATTAAAAAAAATGAAAAATGAAAAAATATTATTAAAAATTGTTCATGCCTACGTCCACATCAAGTTGGATGCTAGTGTCCATGTCAAAGCCAACTGGCCGGATGGATTGAATCGGCACAAATACAAAAGATTTATGACTCAATTGGCAAAAAAAAGTTTAAGGCTGAATTGACACAATTGAAATAGGTTTATGACTTTTTGGGTAACTTTCCCCTGTGAAATATGCTTAAGATGTCTTGATGTGCATGATAACAACCACAGAAAATCATCCCAATAGTTCCAACCTATTGAACGGATGCCAATTCAGTTCTAAAATTTTAAATTATGCTAATTTTCGCCGGAAATCACCGACGTAGCGGTTCAGCCATCGCCGGCCGTCCGACGTGGCACAATCGCAAAGTTAGCAATTTCCGACGAAAATTGGCCAGAAGCAAAAGTTGAAAAAATGATAGGGCATTAACTGCAAAAATGGGCATTAAGGAGGGGGATTAAACAATAATAGGGCAAAGGGGAAGAGGCATTTACGAAAGATTGCCGTGAATTGACCGACGGGAGATAAGGTCACCCCCACTCTCGCGCACCATCTTTAGTGCATGGATAAGCTTACGTAGGCCTCTAGATAATGTCGATCCACTAAGGGGTTCCTGGAAAAAGGTCAAAAATCTCTGCAATTTTTCGTCAGACATTCCTTTCAAGGATCTTATCATTGAGAGAGCGCCATGTCCCCGCAAATTCTTTCGACTCCTGAAATAAGATATAGCCTGAATTTTTAATCGAATTAGGAAGACGGAATCAATCTTTAGAAAGGGCAGAACATGCATCTGGGATCTTGATTTTTGGAACCAATATTCAATTTGGATTCTTGATTTTCAAACATTAGAAAAGAAATCTTCGAGTTCAATTTTAGCCCCCGTAGTGATTTTCTTTTTGTTTTTTTCGTTTTTTTTGCTCCATGAGCGTCGGTGCAGAGACTCGACTACTTGAAAATCTATGAATACCTTATGAGCCCATGAATCATATAAACTCGGACATTCAGCCTGTGTGGTTTGGCTTTAACACAAAGCGATTTGCGTGCAATTCATGAAGTTCAAGCTCAGGAATTCTTGAGCTGGAAATCCCCCAGCTTCCCTCTATTAATTTGAGTTCTCTCCTGAAATATTTTCTCAGAACTAGTGCGCGAAACAAGTTCATAGACTAGATTTTTTAGTAGCTTGAAGATAGGAAACCCAATTCCTTTTAAGACGCAATCTCATTTTATTAAGGTAGCTCGGACATTTAAATTTTGTGTTACGACATCATCTCATCAAGGTATGACAATATCTCCTCGCACCATAACACTAAGTTTCTAGAGAAGAGAATTTTAGGACCACCCCGGCAGGATTTCTATCGTCGAACCTCAAACTCACGACCAATCCGCCTCCAACACAATTCAGCATCGAAGCTTAATCGCTCAAGACTTTTCATAACTTCACATCATAGTTTGTGAGTCGCTACTTGCACTTTGATTTCTTCACTCGAGCTTCCCCGTTTGCCGTGACCGATCAGTCAAGTGCTCTTGAATTTCAGTGCTTCTTCCAACATGCAATGCAATTCGAGGGTTATGCCGAAAACGAAGAGACAAGTTTGTAACACAGAGTAGATCACGGAGGCAGAGGCAGAGGCGGTTCCATACCATTTCAAGATTCTGAGAACTCGAATGAAAACTCACCTCAAACCTCAATGGTCTTTTCACCATTCTCTTCGTTCAAAAAAGAGACTAGAGGGCGTGTCACCAGATTTGCATAAGCTAATGTGCGTTTCATCTCAATGACGTCCTCGGCAATAGTCTAGCCAATACACCGCAGCGTGGACCATGCAACAGGCTATCGATCCGCTCATCAAATCGATACGTCCTTTTCCGACGGCCAATTGTATATTATTATCAGATAGTTCGCGGAAGCTTCGTCTTGGCCCTCGACAAGCCATACGTTAGCAAAGCACTCGGGATTCCTTCCACTTACTTCAGCCCCCCGAAAAAGAAGTCCTCGCAGCATCACATCCAAACCGCTATTCGTTTTTTTAAGCACTTATCAGAGGAATTCGCATAAGATGATGATCGTGACTTACCAAGTCCATTCCTCATGACCACTAACTCCAACTTTTAGAACAAGGGGACAAAAACACTACCACGACTATATTATAAAGTAATGGAGCTTAGTGGAGCATGCGATAAGATATGATAAGATGGGTGTAAACTATTGGGCAATTGCTCCTCCATGAAAAACGCTTTCCCCACGAGTGTAGTCCTCTGACAGTTTGCCAGAATACCCTTTGTGTTTCGTTGAACTTCAACTTCTAATGGAAAAATTCAAAAGTACAATCATCCACGCTTCCTCCATTGAAGAAGAAGAAGAAAAGAAGAACACGACAAGAGTAACAGTTCTCGATTGATAAGTGAAACTAGCTCTGCATTAGCCCGAAAAAGAAAGTAAAAGCCGATGAAAATTGGTTTATCTTGAACCAAGTGCAGTATGGACGACCCTAGATGGAAACATGAGCATACCCATGAACATTGGGAAAAAGAAAAAGAGAGAAAGGAAAGATGAAGTAACATATCCCATTCTTTTACGGATTTATGACAGTAAATGACCGTTATTGGGCAAAGGTTTTTCACTAACATCGGTGATCTTTACTATATCAAAAAAAAAAAAATTGAGTTAGGATAGCTGAACAGTTGAGCATGCAAGAGTTCCACCATGACTATTCACTAGTAGACCTAGTAAAAATCAATGTTTGATGCCTCACTTTACCCACCGGCCCACAAACCGCACGAGTCATTCCAAGCCAAAAGAATAAGAATATTTCTTCAATCCTAAAAGCATGCCTCTGACTGTCTCGCAAGGACACCGGTACAGAATTTTGGGCCGCCCTTTCCTTTTCTTCACTACTTTATGATAAAGTAATGTATTGATACTTCCATACTTTAAAGACCATAACACACTGATTACCAGCATCAATACGTAGGGCACAAGTGTAAAGGTATGCATATGCATAGATTCTGCATCGTTGTCAAATGTGATATGAACATATCTGCTTGATCCTCAACGCCACGTGATCACTGACTCAACAGTAGTGAGATCCTACGTGCTTGTGAATGTTCTACCGGCAGAGTTTACGGCAGAGTTTCCCACACACAGGTGTGCATACAAAACGCATAACGCATACACATATATATATATATATATATATATATATATATATATATATATACATCTACCATTGGTATTTGGTTCTTGACCCTACGTGACAATTTTTCATAAGTTCACTCGTCATTTGCATTTGATCTATCCTGTTTGGGCAATTTGATTTCACACAACCAACAGAGAGAGAGAGAGAGAGAGAGAGAGAGAGAGAGAGAGAGAGAGAGAGAGAGAGAGAGAGAGAGAGAGAGAGAGAGAGAGAGAGAGAGAGAGAGAGAGAGAGAGAGAGAGAGGCTCACTGTTAAATATGTCTTGAATTTTATGTACTCGGTCCGGTTGATGACCCGACCCGACATATTTTTTGTGCGACTCGAAAGTGGAGAGAAAATTGAGATTTGGTTCGTGACGCGGAGGGTTGGGCCGATAGGCCCAACCTGGAGAGTTTTCTTGGGGAGCACTATTTATACCGCGACTAGGTTTTCTCTTTGATGTACAGAGAGAATTTTGTTTCAGGAGAGTTTTGTGAGCCGTGAGCTTTTTGTCGTTGTTTCGACTTCTGAAAATTGTACTCTCTTTGATTATAGTTGAATCTTGTTTTGCCTCGCCCGTGGATGTAGATCACGTTGTGATCGAACCACGTAAATCCCCGTGTTCTGTATTTGTTTTTTCCGCATCTATTTCAACACTCACATATATTAAGCAGGGATAAAAATAAGTGGAGTGGCCAATAAACTAGTGGAATCCACGTCATGCTGGTTCCCCTTTTGGCAATTCTTTCAAAGCCTCCAATCCACTTAAAGAAGAGCCCTGAAGCGAGCAACCACCATCCCCCTTTCTTTTCCTTTCCCAAAACCTTTTCTTTTCCATCGCTCATTGTCCAATGTTGGGATACAGTGCTAACATATCCACCACACATATATTGTCGTTAGTATAAGAGAGGCATATGGTGGCATATTTCACTTTTCATTTTCCATTGCCATATAATATACAAAGCTCTCCCTATCTCCTGCTTCCAATGCACATCGTCGATTAAGAAATAAAAGCCGACAAAGAAAAAGGAGAACACTGAATGGACACGTGGAACTATAATTTCATTACCACAGTATTGCGATAAAATGACGCAGTTGTGCACCTTTAAATGAATCTAAAACCCAGTACTTGCTGTCACGTCATTTCAAGGACAATTCCAAAAGTATGAACGGAGACAACTGCTATGGTTGCTGAAGGAACAGGGCACCAAAAAAATTTGTAATATGAGCAAAGCAAGTTTCGCTTAAGTTCTTTCTACTCTTCCGGAGCTATATTTCATGACTGCACAAGTCGAAAGTACTTTATGGATATTGAGAGAGCACAACATATGTCTGTTGAAGTAAGACTAGACACTAATCACGAAAGGCAAAAGTCTTATTAAAACGAATTTTCAGGCTTTATAAGCATGTCTATCTCATCATTGAGTTAAAAAAAAATACTTCCCTCACCAACGAGGCATTGACTTAGACAGCGAGGGAGTTTGCTCGTTTCCTTGTGATTTTAGCTTCAAGTTGAGAGCACTTTAACAGTAAAATCTTAATGTACCAGGCTGATGTGGAGGAGTGCACCCATAAGATCACCCGGGGAAATGGACCGGTCGAGGTGCATGAAAGCTGGCCCTGACACCACCTGATCGTTAAAAAACAAAACATACTTTACTCAAAGTAGATTAGAAACGTTATTTTGTAAATTCTACTCTAAACATCTACAACTACAATTGAATTTACAGCACATGCATACCTTCAGTCTACCAAGTCCATAGTGACTTTAAAGTTCAACTAATGCTTGAAATCATAACCTTTCTAAAACTTCAGACAGTATAAACTAGAAATATTTATTTAATTCAATGTTTTATTTAAGTAAGAAAAGTCCATGAGCACCTCTTGCCTCAAGAAGATGCTGACATTAGATAAAGTATGTCTCATATGTTTCTGTACGATAAATCAGATTGGTCTTGAAATCCAAATGTAATGCAACGATCAAGATTGAAGAAAGGACATACAAAAAAGCCAACTATCCACAATAAGCATATAATTATCTTTTCTGTTGCAAGTTAACATAAATGGAAGTACATCACTATTTGCTTTTTTATTTTTCTAAGTGGAGGTAGAGATTACGGAGGCATTTTTTGCGCAAATTTTACATACTAAAAGGGAATTTTAATTAATACCACTACTGATAGTAGTACAACGCAAATGAGTCCCACTGGGGCAATCAGATCCACCTTTTTCAGTGAATCTTCTAGGATATACACCGCAATTAGATTACCCTGCAATTAAAATAAATTAATTGCAGCTTTCAGGGCTTTAAATCATCTTTGACTGACTGATTGCCTCGGTAGCAAAGTATCAATTAAACTCTAAATAATTTAGTCCTTCAAATAGCATATTTTACTAGCTCTGTGCAGCTTTAATTATTTCATATTAAAAGTGTGTTTGTTTCGCGAAAAACTCAATAATAAAGGAAAATGATTTTCCGGAAAGCATTTTTCAAGAAAACGGTTAGTTTCCTTCGTTTGGTAATATGTAATCGAAATCGTTTTTTGACGTTTGGATTTTATTGGAAAATGAATTCAATCTCATGACTTTATCTCAGACAAAAAAAATTGAATTTTTAATTATTTGTATTTTGATTATTTTATATTAAAATTCGAATTTTTAATTTTTCTTTTCTTTTCTTTTTCTTTTTTCTTCTCTTTTCTTTTCTTTTTTCTTTTCTTTCCTTTTCTTTCTCCTCCTTCCTCCGCCGCGACTGGCCGGCGACGACCCAGGCGAGCTTGAGCTTGCCGGCCTAGGGCAAGCCGCGAGCCCGAGCTCGCCGGCCTCGACTGAGCCCTAGCTTGCCTGGATCTGCCAAGCCTCAAGCTTGCCGGCCTCGGGCGAGGTCGAGGCGAGGTGGAGGAGGCGAGGCGACAAGGTCGAGCCTCGTACGACGCCGGCGAGCTCGAGCTCGCCAGATCCCGACGAGGCTTGACCTCACCACGCTGAGGCCGGTGAGACTCTCGGCCTCGCCTAAGGCTGGCTGTCGCTGGCCCGCGCTTGTGGCCAATTGCCAGCTGTCGCCAAGGCTGGCCACCAGCGGAGGGAGGAAGAAGGTAAAAGAAAAGAAAAAACGAAAAGAAAAGAAAACGACAATAAAAGAAAAATAAAAATAAAAATATTAACAAATTTAAGATAATTAATTCCGAAAAGTGTTTTCACCTTCTTAAAGTAGGAAATTCACTTTCTTAAATTTATACTTGAATGGTTTCCTTAATCGGAAAGTGTTTTCGATTAACTAAATTATTTTCAGATAACCAAACGGATGAAAGTGCGAAAAATACTTTTCCAAAAAATAATTTCATCGAAACAAATACACCCTAAGTGTCTCTAGAAAGCAGCAAAAGGCATAAAAAATTTCTGGGTCCGTGGATCTCTCAAGTAGGAAGTACACTTATCGTATGAGGATGATGGAGTCCAAAAAATGATGCATTCTTCTTACATGAACAGTCACCTAAGAAACACCTAAGCAGTGAAACCTTGCTTTGCAAAATTTGTCGTCTTCTACCTTGTCATTCATCATTTACTTCACTTGGCTGCTAATTAGTGCCCTGCACAGAAGTCAAGGGACGACAATCATTTTCCCATTTTGTATGGAAGGCAAAGAAGACCCAGTCCCTTTCATTTAGAATATTGGCCGCTAGTTCTCAGGTCATGATAAACACTCGTTTTAATTCAGAGTCTGTTCATCTGAATTGTAACATGTCCTCTGTCTAATCTTCCGCTCAAGAACCGCAGATTTAGAAAGATAGCTTCATTACAGAACATCACATCTTCTCAGTGGGTGCTTATAAAATGCCAATATTCATCTCAAAGGCATCTTTGGCTCAAACAAATGCCAATATTTATCTCAAAGGCATCTTTGGCTCAAACAACTGTAATCAGACTAAAAAAAGTAGCTACCTGTATTGTCAGCTAGAAATGCAAAAATAAATCCTCACTGAACCTGAGGATTCCACTATGAAAGCTACATCTACGTATCAATCGTTAGCCCTGGTTATATAAGCATAATGCTGACGTCACATGCATAAGGTGCCTATCAGAAAATAAAGTGCTTGCACCAAGTGTACGGTAAAGATGGAAATATTGCCATCACATAGAGATTCAACACTGGAACTTGCTTATATATATAGCTAGAGGATACCAAGACATCTGCATATAGAAGAATACCTGGAGCAGGTTCCCTTATCAGACATAAGTGAAAGAGACAAGAGATACAAGAGAAGATGGCGCAAGAAGAAATCCGAAAGGGTCCATGGACAGAACAGGAAGACTTCAAGCTGGTCTGCTTTGTGGGCTTGTTTGGAGATCGGCGTTGGGATTTTATAGCCAAGGTTTCAGGTTTGAAGGTGGCGGGAGAAGATAATAGGTAGGCTTATCTTGGAGATGGAGGTTCTTGGAAGGGGCTACCACTGATTGAATGGTTTTGATGTAGGTTTGAATAGAACAGGGAAGAGTTGCAGGTTACGTTGGGTTAACTACCTCCACCCAGGTCTCAAGCGAGGGAAGATGACCCCTCAAGAAGAGAAACTCGTGGTCGAACTTCATGCCAAATGGGGAAATAGGTCCTAAGACTTGGTTATCTTTTCTTAGCTTCAATTTATCAGTCAGTATATTATACCGCTCTACAGTTCTTAATGCATTGAACAAATTCAAAATGTTGCTTGTCTAATTCTTCTTCTAATGTACAGCACTTATGTGATGCAGATGGTCCAGAATTGCTCGCAAATTACCGGGACGCACAGATAACGAAATCAAGAACTACTGGAGAACTTATATGAGGAAAAAAGCTCAGGAGAGGAAGCATTCCGTTTCCCCATCATCATCATCTTCTAATTGCTATTCACCCACATCAAACAATCCTCCAGCTGATTCGTTACCCTTCCAAGAGACTGGAGAAGTAAGCTACTATGATACAGGTGGTCCTGATGCATCAGCTCCAACAAGAAAGGAGAGTGAAGAAAAAGAAGACCGAGAAAAGGGGGACTCCATGGATGATATATGGAAAGATATTGCTGTTTCAGAGGGGAATAATGATATAACGCAGCCTTATAACTGCTTTAGTGATGAGAGTTACAGTTACACCTGTCCTCAAATGGCTTCACCAGTCTGGGAATTCTACTCTGACTCACTCTGGAAAATGGATGAAGAAGAGAGTGAGATGCTTCTCCCTATGAGCAATCATTACTCTTCCTGGTAAATACAGGAGTCAAGAGAGGGGCCCTTGTTGGTTGATCAGAATTTCATTAATTAATAGTTCTCCAGTTAAGTAGTATCCCTATGAGTAAGCGCTAACCCATATAGCATGGTTTAGTCTAAGGTGTGAAGATAGTAGTCCGTCCACAGAAATGAGTGTCATTTCATGCATACTGGAGTCCTTCATCCATAGGTAATGTTATGTTATAAAGCAGGAAAAATAACCTCATCGATCTCTAATGAGGTGGTAATCCTATTGATGGATTTCTTGTAATATAGATTTGAAACTCCTCTTGTGTTTCTTAAGTGAATGGTAACCTTCGTATTGTAGCCAATGCTCAACAAAATATTGACATGCTTTAACACGAACAAATTCTGTCAATTATGCCGGCAATAATCACATCTAATTGATTTTCCAATGCTAGTAGCTCAAGCATCATTACCAATTTACCACTATAACCAAATCAATGGTCCATATAATGCTGGCAATAGCTGAAAGGTAAAAACCACTAGGAAATCCCAACTAAAGAAGCTAGAGCAAAATAAATAAGGCGGGATAAAGTAGAATATCCAGCCACGAATAAAGAAATACCTGACTCAACAAGATATCTCAAGATCCTTTAATTTAGCAGGCACATCCGCTAACAGGCATACTTTATTTGGTGTTTCTGAAGTAAAGTGTAAAATCACTCAAATCCAGCATCCCACCAATAGTAACCATTTATTAGTGGATTTTGTACGTTTCACTGGCATGTCACTTAGGAAGAAACCAAAACTAACTTTAAAGTGTGTAATCAACTCAATAAAACATCATCACTTGTGAAGATCCTAAGGAAAAATCTCCCCTTTTACCCAGCCTGGTCTATGACAGGCTATGTGAAGACAACAATTACCACTCAATGGGACAAAATAAGAAAAGAGAAATTCGGGAAGAGAAAAGCCAAATATAAAGGGGAAAGACATTTGCTACATTCAGTAACCCACCTTGACACTATTTAGTATCTCTATGATCTACACCAGTAGCCATTTAACCACAAAAAGGAAAAAAAAAAAAGAGAGAGTGGGTATCTGAAACGGGAAAACACTGCAGAAAACAGATAATAAACCATATCATGACCTTTCATATCATCAAAGAGAGTAAAAGTGAAACCTGTCTTTTAGGATCATTAAAACCTATTCAAGTTTTTCCCATGTAGAACCAAGACATGTTTAAATCTAGAAGAGGTGAAATTTATTTTCAGGCGAATATGCCACTTAAAATTCATCGAGAAATGGATTATGCCGGTCTCATATAATGGTATAACGCTAACCGTGTTTAAAATCTTGCATTGCCATTCTTAAGTGGTGGTGGACCAAGAACTATCTCACCCTTGATGTATAGAATGAAGAATCTGGTCTTGCAACCAATTATTGCTTTCTGAAAGGACACATGGCACTTTACCAAGGGACACAACTCAACTGTCAACACTAATCCAAAATTACCTAATAACAACAACGTGAATTATAAGAAGAAACATTAGGCATGTCTCATAGGACAAGTTAGACTCCTTCATAATACATATTCCCCTATTTGGATCTGGACTTCCTCTTGAATCAACTCACTCCTGTGTAAAAGCAGTTTTATTGTCCATGAAAATCCACATATTACCAGGGAAGCAGGATGATAATACCCACTAAGAGATTAATATTCTTAATTCATTACTTCATTACACCACTCGTCAATTCACCTAATCATTCTTTGCAAAAACCTCAATTTCCGATTGGAATTTCACTGTGATCATCTCATTTGACTTCAGTTTCATCTTATGGAGCACAAAAATTAGAGATCTATTTCAATGATCCGCTCATTTGAGGAATCTTCGCTACCAAATTAGTGAGATAATTCTTCTGCTAGCGATCACGTACTTTCACATGTATATAGGGACAGCCAGACTAGAAATACAACAATGTTATTACTTTATTTTGCCCGACCATCTCGTCAACTGAATGCTCATCCCAAACCATACTTTTATCTCACCTTAGCCTAATGGATTTTTAGCAAGAACCCCAGACAGTCTCGTGCACAGTAAAATCAAAATTCACAGTATAACATGAATCTGCATGCTTTAAGACTCCATCCTGTCTTCTCCATTGCCAGCACGAAATTTCTGCGCTAAAACCTCAGTTGTTAGAACTTCATCATTCGTCAGATCGGGAGTACCATTTTTCCTCCACCACCCAATTGGGCAGGATCCTCTCCACAGTATCAATATCTGACCTCTGGACACTTCCTTTGGCCAAGAATCGGTCAGATACACATCCACGCAAAATGGCACCCTAGAAAGAACTTTATCCTCTAGAAAGCTGATTCGGATTCAGAACAATCGAGCTAGCAAGACGATAATCGAAACACGCGGTCACTAGTCACTCCAAAAGAAGCTTACTGCTCACAGAGAGCTTACTCAGGAAAAAGGCCCTTCCTCCTTCGACCCCTATTCGGCATAAGATCTCTGCTGTCAACAACCGACCCCTCCACACAATCTGTACTAAATACCACCGAACACCTACTTACCCCATACGGATCGTGTCCTAACGCGAGCGCGCGCCATGAAAACGAGTTAACTCAATCGAGTTCATACACGACATGGAATCGATGAACATGGGACATGCATCCACGAGCACGGTCACTTAGGTCGAAAATAGACCGCGGTTCCCGACGAGGCCAGGGCCGACGGAGAACAGCAGAAATCGAACCGAGACGGCGACAAATCCGGCGATCGCCATGCACACGCCCGTTCAAGAAACGAGCCGGTAGGAGCAAACGCGCGCAGCGAGCGACCGCCGTAGCAACAGCCGGAGCCATGACCGAACGAGAAAAGGCAAGAGATTCGAAGAGAGATTTACCTTCGCGCGGTGTGTAAAAGAACTGAGGAATTTTGGAATGAGAATTCTGTTGCCACAGAAACGTAACATATATACTAGAAGATACAGCTATCAAACAAACTCCTAATTAGGCTAAACTACTAAAAATACAAGGATCACACAATAAAAAAGAATAAAAGATGTGCACACAAAACTTCCTAAGTAAACGGCCTAAATAAACGGCCTAAATAAAAGCAGATCACAGCTGCCTTTCCAATACCCCCCTCAAGTTGGAGCATGGGGATCTCGAATGCCCAACTTGCGAAGAATAAAGTTAAATTGATCCTTTCCCAACGCCTTCGTGAATATATCAGCTGGCTGCATTGAACTACGTACGTAATCTGTTTGAATGTTACCATTAAGTATCTCATTACGAATAAAATGACAGTCCACTTCAATATGCTTGGTACGCTCATGATAGACAGGATTGGCGGCTATATGTAAAGCTTCCTGATTGTCGCAATACAAGTGCATAGGTTGAGAATGTGCCACACCAAGAGAATCCAATAATCCTTTCAACCACTTAAGTTCACAAACTGTAGTAGTCATAGACCTGTATTCCGCTTCAGCGGATGAGCGAGACACTGTCTGTTGCTTCTTAGTCTTCCACGAGATAGGAGATTCTCCCAAAAGAACAAAGTAACCGGTCAAAGATCGTCTCGTCAAAGGACAACTAGCCCAGTCAGAATCGCAGTAAGCAGACAATTTCAGGTCACAATTGGCACGCAACATAATACCCTGACCTGGATTTCCTTTCAGATAACGCAGAACTCTCACAGCTGCCTCCCAATGAGCTTTCTTTGGCCGCTGCATGAACTGTGCAAGAATATGCACACAGTAAGACAATTCAGGTCGAGTTATTGTTAGATAAATAAGCCGACCCACTAGGCGCCTATACTGAGCAGGGTTGTCTACATCATCGCTCTCAGTAAGGGCTAGCTTGTGATTTTGTTCAAGAGGAGTTTTAGCCGGCTTAGAACCCAGTAATCCGACCTCAGAAATCACATCCAACGCATACTTACGTTGACACAAGAAAATACCATCCGAGTTTCTCGCCACTTCAATCCCCAAGAAAAATTTCAGCTTCCCCAAGTCTTTCATATGAAAACAACGACTCAAATAGTTCTTGAACGTTTGCACAACGGAAATATCATTACCGGAGATAATGAGATCATCAACATAAATAAGCACATTCAATTGAACAGTCCCAACTCGAAAAGTGAACAAGGAGTAATCTGAATATGATTGTTGAAATCCATAAGCTTTCAAAGATGCAGCCAATTTCGCAAACCAACATCTAGGTGCTTGCCGCAAACCATATAGAGATTTCCGGAGTCTGCATACCTTCCCTGATGATTGAGAGGCAAAGCCAGGTGGCATCTTCATGTAAACCTCTTCCTCTAAATCGCCATGTAAGAAAGCATTTTGAACGTCCATCTGATGAAGTTCCCAATTCTTTGCAGCCGCAACGGCAAGAAAGGTGCGTACGGTGCACATTTTTGCCGTAGGAGCAAAAGTCTCCTGATAATCTATGCCTTCAACTTGATTATTTCCCAGTATCACCAATCGCGCCTTGTATCGTTCAACACTTCCATCAGAATTGTACTTAATTTTATACACCCACTTGCTCCCAATTGCTTTCTTTCCAGGCGGCAAATTTTCGACTGTCCATGTGCCATTATCTTCTAAAGCCTGTATTTCTTTACTCATGGCCTCTCTCCACCGTTCATCTTTAATCGCTTCCGCATAAGAGTTTGGTTCATGTCCTGCAGTAATTGCTGCCAAGAAACACCGGTGTTGCGCAGAAAATTTTTCATAACTCACATAACGTGCTATAGAATAAGGCGTACCTGAGGAATCAGATTGGGTAGATGAGCATGTCGAGGGGCTTATTCTGATGGCGTTTGTCACATAATCTTTCAAACGAACAGAAGGTTGCTTGACCCTTTGTCCCCTGCCTAGCTGCTCTTCGACGACTTCACTTCTTTCCACGTCCTCATTGTTTGTGTGGATCAATTCCTCCATTTCTTGATTCACTTCATTTTCTCTATCTACACTTTCGGCGACGACTTCACTTCTTTCCACGTCCTCATTGTTTGTGTGGATCAATTCCTCCCTCAAGTCACTTTTTAAATCATCAACTTCATCACCCAACTCCATAACTCTATTTTTAATGAGTTCATCACTTACTGTTTTCTCATCAGCATATGGAAATTCCGTTTCAGCAAACACTACATCTCTTGATACAAAGTATTCAGCTTCTAAATCATACAATCTCCACCCTTTCTTTCCCAACGGATAACCAACAAAAATACACCGACGACTTCTACTAGCAAATTTATCTTTATCCCGATTCTGATTATGCGCATAGCACAAACAACCAAAAATCCGAATATATTTGTAAGAAGGAGGTTGGCCAAAGATAATCTCATATGGGGTTTTACCATTCAATAATATAGATGGAGTCCTGTTAATCAAATACCCAGCTGCGAGTACACATTCTCCCCAAAATTCTATGGGTAAATTTGCTTGGAAACGCAAAGCTCTTGCAACATTAAGGATATGGCGATGCTTTCTTTCCACTCGGCCATTTTGTTGAGGTGTTCCAACACAAGAAGTTTGATGCAATATCCCATGTTCATCAAAATATTCTTTCAAACACAAAAATTCACTTCCGTTATCACTTCTAACGATTTTCACATTTTTCTCAAATTGGCATTTAACCATCGCAACAAATTTCCTAAGAACATAAGCCACTTCATTTTTTCCATTCAGCAAATATATCCACACAGCACGAGAGTAATCATCAACAATTGTCAAGAAATAAATTGCTCCACATGAAGCTGGGACTCTATAAGGTCCCCACAAATCACAATGCATCAATTCAAAACAATCTTTAGCTTTATTGTCACTAGAAAAGAAGATCTCTCTTGTTTGTTTTGCTCTAAAACAAACCTCACAAGTTTTATTGGTTTTCCTAACCATTTTGCCAGCTTCTGGAATTAACTCCACCACCTTAGAAGAAGGATGACCCATTCTTTTATGCCAAAGTTCAAAGGATTCCATATCATCCACCTTGCAAGCATGTACCGAAGTCACTCCCTTGAGAAAGTAAAGCCCCTCGCGTTGCTCACCCGCTCCAATCAGGTTCCTCGAATTTAGGTCCTGTATAGCACATATTTTGTTAGTGAGTTGGATAACCAAATTTGAATCATTAAGAAGTTGTGATACAGAAATCAGATTGCATTTCAAATTGGGCACAAAAAGAACTCGTCGCAATTTCAAGTCTCCTCCAAGCAACACAGTTCCTTCTTTCACTGCCATGGTCTTTTCTCCATCAGGTAATTCGACTGAGCATGGCATAATGTCACGCAATTCTCTCAAAAATGCCAACGTTCCTGTCATATGGTGGGAAGCTCCTGTGTCAATAATCCAAGGAAAAATACTCTGCTTACCTATCAACCTCTCATGGGCACCATTCTGATGAGAACTTAACATTCCTAGCAAAGTCGCCCACTGCTCATCATTCAATCCACTAAGACCCTTTCGATCTGAATCCGTCACAACTCCTCGCCCACCATCAACTCCAGTTGCCTGTGAGACGTTGGCACGAGCACCTCCTCCCTTGTTTCGTCCACCTCTATTACCACGCTTTTGACCACTACCTTGTCCAGCAAAGGTTCCACGTGGTCTATTGCCCCACCATTCTGGATATCCTATCAGCTGGAAACAACTTTCAGCATCATGTCCCTCTCGGTTGCAATTAGAACAAAACGGGATTTTATCTTTATTCCCCCTTGAATTTTGACCACCTGCCCGGATTGCAAAACTCATGGGATTTCCTCTTTCATCCTTGGTTCGTGTCATAGTTCGTACTCGCTCTTGCTGAACAACCATAGCATAGACACGATTCAGATTAGGCAAAGGTTCAGTGCTCAAAATATTAGCGCGCACTGTTCCGTATCCTTCTTCATCTAAGCCCATTAAAAACTGATGAACTCTCTCTTCTTCACGCTTTCTTTCCAATACAATGGTAAGATCGCATCTGCAACCTGTACAAACACACACTGGTATCTGATCATAGTTATTTATTTCATCCCACAAGGTTTTGAGTTTACCGAAATAGGACACGATGGGTTGACCATCCTGCCTACAATTGGCCAAATCCGATCTTAGTTGCTGCATCCGTGGACCATTCCCAATCGAAAATCTCTGCTTGATATCCTCCCACAGATCTTTCACATTCTCCATGTGAGAGATAGTCGAGCGAAGTGTCGGTACAATGGTATTAAACACCCAAGAAACCAACATGGAATTAACCGTCCACCAATCTTCAAGTTCCAGTGAATCATCTGCTGGTTGCTTGACAGATCCATCAATAAAACCATATTTCTTCTTGGCTCGTAATGCAGTCCGCATAGCTCGCGCCCATTCTTCATAATTCTCGCCCTTCAACTGAACTTGGGTAATCAGGTTACCCGGGTTGTCATTCGAATTCAGTGTGTAAGGACTAAAGGTTTTCTTGTCCGCTCCAGAACTCTCCTCATCTTTTTTTCCATCAGCCATGGCTCTGATACCATGTAAAAGAACTGAGGAATTTTGGAATGAGAATTCTGTTCTTCATTGCCACAGAAACGTAACATATATACTAGAAGATACAGCTATCAAACAAACTCCTAATTAGGCTAAACTACTAAAAATACAAGGATCACACAATAAAAAGGAATAAAAGATGTGCACACAAAACTTCCTAAGTAAACGGCCTAAATAAACGGCCTAAATAAAAGCAGATCACAGCTGCCTTTCCAATACGGTGTCCAAAATCGAGAGCCCTAGGCCCCGGGAGGGGGACCCCGAGGGAACCACAGACGAGACGACGCCACCTTCGCCGGAGCCGCGCTCGCTGCTGGCGACTCTGGTGATCGGAAGGGTGGGGACGGCGGCGGCGGAACGCTCCGAGCGGCGGTGTGGTGTTTTGGCCGTCGAGCTATCGAAGCAGTCGACGGCGGTTGGGCTTTCGTCGTTCCCTTTTTGGCGGGCATTCCGAGATCGGTTCGGACCGTTCGCGCTCGGCCCGAATCCAATCGCAAACGGTCGAAATCGGACCCGACCCGACCGGAACAGTCTCTTATTGGGTGGGCGGGAAGAAGGGATATTCGGATCTACCCCCGCCTACATACCATGCAGAGCCCAACACGCCCGTTCCTAAGAACATAAGTATCTTGCACGCCGTAGTTACGTCGCGATAAGCGTTGGTCGTGGAGTAATGTCCATAAAGACGGCAAGAGGAGACTGTGGCGAATGCGTGACGGTCGCTAGTTAGTTGGAGATGATTAGGGATGAGCGGTTTCAGGTTCTTTACAGATTTTACATAGAACCTGAAATCTACCCTCAGGTATCGGTTCCCCATTTTTTGGAACATGGAACCTACCCGTCGGAACCAGGAACCTACTCTGTCACAGATTCGAGGGTCTAATAGGTTCTTTTTATTTATTGCATTTTTAGTTAAACAAAACAAAAATGAATACAACAATACTAAACAAGATTGTAATTCATTAAAGAGAATACAAAAGATTAGTTTTCCTGGAATTACGGTTCAAATAAATATAACTAAAATGAGAAGTCATCGCGTGAATCAATACTAGGGGTGAGCAGTTCCTTGTTCTGTATAAATTCCACCATTGATAATAGGTTCCTCATTTTTTGGAACTTGGAACCTATCCTATTACAGGTTCGAGGGTCAGTTCCATAATTTACTCAGGTTCCATCTGTATTATTAATTAAATAATTACAGTGAATCATCACCTTTAATAACTACCACTTACTGTTATGATCCACTAACCACAATTTATATTTAGATGCATAAAGAATATAAAACATTAACAAATCATAAAATGAAAGCTCAGACTAGTGGTTCCAGATTATATACTCATCATCTAATTTCATGAAACACCGCAGGATCACGAGAAGACAGATTTCAGGTTCTACCTACCTAGAACCCGAATCCTATACGTCGAATTTTTGGAACCTAAAACTTACTCTGCATACCTTAGAACCTAGAATCTATAGGTTCTCATTAGTAAGGTTCTCAAGTTCTAGGGTATAACCTGAAATCATGCTCACCCCTAAAGATGACGACGACTCGACTCATTTGCATCTGACAAATCGTAAATGCGATTCAATTTCTCAAAGAAAATATGCGGGCTCGGCGTCATTTTCTCGCCATTAGTTATTGATCAACGTTGACTTGAAAACAATTATCATGTTCCGTCTTTTTTCTTTTGTTGAGAATTTAAGGTGAAAGAGACATTGATTAGATTCACAAGGAAATGTGCCCAAAATCCAGAGCTCCCGTTCGAACGTGAAGTTTGAATTCGTTTCCCCTCTCGACGTCTCGATATTTTTATCATCAATTTTGATGCGCTTCCGGTATCTCCGTCGACGTACCATAATATGTACATCACAATCGAATATCCAGTAAGAGCAATCCCCCTAAAAGTATGTACATTTTTCTAGTTAGCGCGAATTTTTTTTTCGGATTTTTTCTCGTTCAAACCGAGTTTGGCTGGTTCAACTGCTTACATTAGGTAGCCGGAGGTCTCATTAGGACTAAATTTGCAAATTTTTTCAAAATGTTTATGACTAAATTGGCAAATTAAAAAGTTCAAGATTAATTTGGCTGCCGTAGAATTGGTTTACGACTTTTTGGACAATTATCCCGGGTAACTCGATCTGGGTAACTCAATTTGCACGCGAAGAAATAGAGGGGTGAGATTTATTTTTCTTCTCATTTGATCTAAGCTACAATTCATTCAGCTCCATATTATTTTAAAAAGGTTAGACATTGCTCCCTTTCTTATTACAAACTCACCTACTTCTTTTCATTTTCAGTTTCTTGTAGACAGGCTCTTTGCTCTTATTCTTGAAATTTGACAAATTGGTGATCAAGATCAAAGATCCAAGAATTTCCCACGAGAAAGCCAAAAAAAAAAAATGATTCACTTGCGACGAGAATTGACAAAAACAGCCAGATACAAAGAGAAACAACACTCACGACTGACCCGACCCAATTTGAAACCAGAAACACAACTTCCACATCGATCGGCTCACGGCCCTAGAACTCGGTGGTGGGGAGCTGCTCGTGGGTCTGGTTGATGAAGAACAGCTCGTACACGACGGCGGCGATGCCCGCCCCGATGAACGGGCCGAGCCAGTACACCCAGTGGCTGCTCCACGACCAGCTCACGACGGCGGGGCCGAAGGAGACGGCCGGGTTCATGGACGCGCCGTCGAAGGCCCCGCCGGCCAGGATGTTGGCGCCGACGATGAAGCCGATCGCGATGGGGGCGATGATCCCGATGTTGCCCTTCTTCGGGTCGACGGCGGTCGCGTACACGGTGTAGACCAGGCCGAAGGTCATCACTATCTCGAACACCAGCGCGTTCCACACGGTCACGTCGGACGACAGAGAGAATGCCGAGGTCGTCTGTAACAAATTTACATGTATGCAAAATTGTTAATTTGCTTTTCTTTTTTTAAAGCATCGATATTGAAAAGTTGGCAGTTGACTTTTCCTGATATAGACCGATTTATGTCGTTCGATTCTTCCTCGAACTTCACTATTTTCTTTGGCAATTTGAGGTGATGATATTTCGTTTTGCGCTTTGTCGATATTTTGATTGGTTTTAGGACCATTCAAATGGCAAATCATCTTACCATTCCGCCGGTGGCGAACTTGAGGAGCAGGCAAGCGACCACCGATCCGGCGCATTGGGCTATCCAGTAGAGCACGCTCCTGGCCAAGGTTATGTGACCGCCCACGAAGGCCCCGAAGGTGACGGCCGGGTTCACGTGGCCGCCGGAGATGTTCGCGCCCACCGAAACGGCCACGAACAGCGCAAAGGCGTGGGCCAGCGACGCTTGCACGAGGCCGGCGGGCGTCGTCGACCCGTCATCAGTCAGCTTGTCTGCACAAAGATCAGTCGTACGTTAGGTTCTCGAGGACATACTTGTGAAAGTACATGGCCACTCTTTTGGCATGCTTATCTATTAATTGAATGACTCCTTACTATACTAGAAAATAGTCGACCAACATTTGGTAATCTCTAAGAATCATGATTAAACTAAGATTAGATGGGAAAAATGTGTTTGAAGCTAACGCACATTTTTAGAACTCGTTTCATCAAAATTGATCGAGAGAAAGTCTTGGATTTATAGCTAGCACGATGGCAAGAGATGCTAACATGAGTAAGTCTATCGGGACGACAATGTTAAAGGGACGGGAGACTTACTGAAGGCCATGCCCGCGCCTTCGCCGGCGAAGACGAAAATGAGCATCGATATGAACTCGGCCAGAGCCGCCTTGAGAGCATCGACCTGGCCAACCTCGGCCGGGGACCCGACGGCGATCCTAGAAATCGGCATTCTCGGGAAGATCCGGTTTTTTCTTCGCGCTTTTGCTAGAGTGCTTAGGGAAAACCAAATCTGCTCGCTCGCTCGCTCGCTTCTTGCACCAAAAGCGAGCCAAGCCTTTCCCCATATATAGCGAGCCAAAAACACCGCCTGTTGAAACCGGAATAGCCGGTCTCCATCCGGTCAAAACCGATTTTTCAAGCACGTTGGAACCGGGTGGCTGTTCCTTTTTTTTTTTGGGCAGCCACCTGTCGCGGTCTGGAGACGGCCCGAGCGGCGGGGCCTCCAGATCGCTCCCGTCGCGACACGTGGACGGCCTGATGTGACGCTGACCGACTAGTAGGCAAGCGTCACCGCCCAATGACAAAGGTTTTGCGGTGGGGTGGTGGGTCCCCCGTCCAATGATGGTACCTTGTTTTTTTTTTTAACCTTGACCGACCACGGGATTTGTTTATGCCGGGGCTGACGTGGACCGCAGCGGGGGGTGGTTAGCTTTGGGTTGGTCTCTCGTAATCCTTCGTTAATTAAGTCGATTATGCCCAAAAAAAATAAAAAATCAAGCTCTGTTTTTTGCTAAAATTTTTTGGGGCCTTTGTTTAGTCGTTAATGGAGATCATGAGAGGGTCGTGGATTATTATGCAAAGGACGTGGGGGGGGGACGTGGTTCGAGATCTCGACCCGTGATTTGTGTGTGGAGATACGTGAAATCTTGCCCCCGGAAAAGGTCGTTTTGGAGCGCAACCAAATGCCGTTCGCGTTCGCAAATTGGGGGATTTTCTTGCGATATTCATTGTGGAATGGACTCATGCGGTCGAGCTTCGATCGCGTTAGTCTCGTGAGCTGGAGGAGGATGGTATTGAAATAGACTCGGCACGACGCGTTTTTTTTTCTGTCGATGTGAAGCCTTTCCCGCAGTGACCCGTGTGGGAATTCCTGCCCCACTTGACGAACTCTCGAATTATCCGTTTCGAAGCTAAAGACGAGAGCACCCGACGGCGGTCTTATTGCAAAGCTAGAAGTTTAATTTTGCAGCTTAAATTGAAAATGGATGTCCATGTGCAATTAGTGGTGGGATCTCAAAAGGGAATTAGGCCAAGTGCACAGCTCCAATTCTGTAGGGCGAGATTTAGGCTTTTTGACTTAGCAGCACGCTGCACTATCTTTTCTAACCAGCGGCACTGTTGGGCATGTGCATTTTGGGCTCAACTGGGATCCAATGCACATGCACTTTCTTCTTTAATTAATAATCTTGCCTTACTTTGATATCCATCCGCATGTTCTACGGAGCGTCCGTACCTCTCCGGAGCAACATGCAAGATCATCAAATTCCTTGTGAGAGATAAAAACACTAGGAGTGTCATAACTTTCGTACGGCGCTTACTTGAATGGCATAACTTTTTTTTTTGCTCATTTGAATGTCACAAATTTGAAAAAACGATCACTTAAGTGCCATCGGCGATTTGCCTCACCGGAAAATTCGATGTGGACGCCAGTCGTCCGACGTGGCTTTGCCGACGCTGACGTGGATAATTTTTAAATATTTTTTTGAACTTTGAATTTTTCTTTTCCTTTTTTTAGCTTTTTTTTTTTAATGCCGGTGGGCCGAGAGCTTCGCAGCCGGCGAGGGTCACCGATGACCCTCGCCAACTCTAAAAAAAAAGAAAATTAAAAAAGGAAAAGAAAAAGAAAAACTAAAAATCAAAATCAAAATAAATAAATAAAATTCAAAAAAATTTAAAAAAAATATTTAAAAATTCACGTCGGATGGAAAATTAATTAAAAAAGCCACGTAGGACGCTTTTCTGGAAGTGACACTCAAATGATCTATTTTACTTCGATGTGGCACTTAAGTAAGCGAAAAAAAAAATTATGACACTCAAGTGAGCGTAGTACGAAAGTTATGACACTCAAGTGAGCATCGTACAAAAGTTATAGCACTCATATTATCTTTATCCCTCCCTGTGATAATCTAATTAAGGCAAGATCTGCTCATTCCTTTGCAATCTGCATGCATGCAGGTTAACCACATCTTATACAATACCGGGTATATTTTTCCATTCTTCTTGTTTTTCCTTCCTTCCCGGCCACGGATCTCGGGTACGAGCATCATAATTACTTTGAACCGAAGTACGTTCCGCCCGGAAAACCCGGGAAAGTACGAGCCGGAAGTTTCGTTTCGAAGCGTTTCGCCGCGTCGATTAGGCCCGTTCGATACTAATCGACTTTTCGATTGATTACGAGATTGAGTTAAAAGGAAATTCAGCTCCGTGAACGTCACTCTCTTCACTGTCACATTCCCATGACCCATATCACCGGCCGATGCAAATGACTATATAATACTTAGAGAACCGAATTCAGATCCAATCATTCAAAGAGAGGGGATCAGGTGAACGACACCCCCACTTTTTCCTCATCACGCCCCGCCCCCATATAAAGCGAAACTCCAAAGCAATAAGAAATCAATCATGACGCCAAAATTATGCTAGGACTCTACTGAGAAAGAGTGGCTAGCTACTCCTATACAAAGGGAAATTAGACAAACGAGGGTTTTGATGATTAACGAGGCTCAGCCACATGACATGTTCGGTGTTTAGTGGTCGCTAATCCCGTGTTTAATTAACCAAAATCTCGTGGCGCCAGAAAAGCAACGTGAAGGGAAGCTGTGTGCTGTGCGGATTGAGAGCTGAGGACTGAGGGAGTAGGTGTGATTAGGGAGGGGCACGCCATGGTGGACTTCTGGTTGGGTTTCGAAATTGAATAATCTCGCTTACATGGGCATCTCACCGACCAGAAAAAACACTTAGTAATTTTTCCCCGGCAATCGAGCATACGACAGAACGCGGGTCCTAAGCAAACACCTTCAAGGGTTTCGTCTCGGTCATCGTCCGGACCTCGGGATCACCGAGATATAAAACTTTCAGAGGGTATTCCCGCTCTTCGGCTGGGAAAGACAGATACGGAGAGAATTGGGGAACGTGCAATCACCGGCACGTTAAACTAAAGAACGCATTCGTGGAGCCCGCTATACTTGTATATAACATAATGCTCAAGGCCCAAAAAAAGAAGAAGAAAAGGACATATAACGCAACATGATGGCCAGAAGTACATATAAAGCATATGACAACGTAAGTCTGATCTGAGGGCTGTGCTTGTGAATTGAACACTGATCATCATTTTGTATTCGTCTTGTCTAGGAATATTGAACGAGCAAGCGCCACCTTTTGTAGCCAATTTTTCTAGCTTATCTTGTGTTTGCATTTGTTTATCATGGACGGCTCGGTGGTTTTCTGGCAAAAATCGATGGAATCAAATAAAAAAAATTTGGGGATGCCTATCCGCTTCCTGTGTCATTCATAGTTAATGATGTTCTTTAAGGTCTTACAATAATAGCACCTTTTCGCACATCGTATGTACGACGGATCCGATAATGATGCCAAGATAATATACCTTTCTCGGCTTAATATATATGTTAAGGGCTATGCGATCTAGTTACCAGCAAGGAAAAGGCATTTTTTTTTTTTTGGAGAATGCTTAGTATGGACCCGGTTCACTAGTCGACGGTTCTGCTGAACCCGGTCCATGTGGATTAGGGTCTATAGATAATTAAGAGCAACGTTACTTTCATTTCGTGTTTCAATTTATGTATTCTACCCACCTCTGGTGAAAGAAACCGTTTTCACTCGCGTGAATAAGATATGGCCGCATGTGTGATTGGACGAATATAATAAGAGGACACAAAATAAGCATAATCATGGAAAATAACAAGCGTAATGAAAATGAGGGACAATAGATTTGTGTTATGTGATATCAGCTCGGATGATAGTCGTATTCAAAATTTCGAAAGCACAGTCAAGATATATTAAATATTCGATTGGATCTTGTTGTAAGACCAAATAAGGAAGCTACAAAAAATATTATTCACTTTTCGCCTAGTGACCATTTTAGTACATCGAATTTTTCAAATACCATTCACATACTTCTAAGAAAAACTTACTTCGAAAAAGATCAAATTGCTCACCCTCCTTACAAACTCATTGTTATTTTGCTTAGGATTCGGGTGGTTTGTTTTTGAACATTTTGAGTAACTATAAGAATTTAGGGTTTGGGATGTGCAGTTTTTTGAAAGAAAATGGTATTTCCGTAAACAGGAGACAAGGATAATCGATATGAAGGTACAAAGTGATATCAACTACAACTTGAGTAGGTGTTTGATATTTTCGAGAGTAGAGGTATGTTGGTAGTCATTGAGAATGCGAGGTATGTTTTTGATATTATCCCAGCAAATAATCATTGCCAAAAGATTGTTGGATACAGGGTAAATAACAAAAAAAGTCTTAAACTTATTGTAATTTTGTTGATTCAGTCCTAATTTTTTTTTTGCCAATTAAGTCATAAACATTTTGTATTTGAGCCAATTCAGTCTATCCGGCCATCGCTAATATGGACAATTTTTAATAATATTTTTATTTATTTGAATTGATTAATTATAATTTTCTTTTTCCTCATCCTTTTTTCTTTTCTTTTTTTTTTCCACGATGGCTGGGGAGTTTTGTCGGCCATTAGGGGCGCGCATGGAATCCATTCTGGAGTAGAAATTCTGCTCCAGAATGCATTTCGGAACAGAAATGCGTTTGTTAAAAAATTTCCGGAATGCATTCTGGAGCAATTTTTGCATTCTGGAATAAAAATGCGTTTGTTAAAAATACTTGATTCCAGAATGAGTTTTGGGCAAGAAAAAGATAAGCTACTTTTTGTAGCTTCTCTCTTCCAGAATGCATTCTCCCTATTTTCTCTCTTTTTCGTGGCCTTTACAACACATTTTGAGATCTCACTAATTTTTTTTTTCAGAAAATGCATAAAAATTGAAAAATTCCAGAAAAATTCATAAAAATTTCCAGAAAATAAAAAAAAGTTAGATTTCGGGAAAATAGGAAATTTGGTGAATTTTTTTCAAAAAATATAAAAATCAAAAATTTCAAAACTTCACAGAATGGCTTAGAATACCTTTGGGCACCTACTTTGAATGAAATTTAATTTTTTTGAGGTGCCCAAAAAAATCAAAAAATCAAAAATTTCAAAACTTCACAAAATGGCTTAGAATACCTTTGGGCACCCACTTTGAGTGAAATTTAATTTTTTTGAGGTGCCCAAAAAAATAAAAAATTAAAAATTTCAAAACTTCACAAAATGGCTTTGAATATCTTTGGGCACCCACTTTGAGTGAAATTTAATTTTTTTGAGGTGCCCAAAAAAATCAAAAAATCAAAAATTTCAAAACTTCACAAAATGGCTTAAAATACATTTTGGCACCCATTTTGAGTGAAATTTAATTTTTTTGAGGTGCCCAAAAAAATCAAAAAATCAAAAATTTCAAAACTTCACAAAACGGCTTAAAATACCTTTGGACACCCACTTTGAGTGAAATTTAATTTTTTTGAGGTGCCTAAAAAAATCAAAAAATCAAAAATTTCAAAACTTCAAAAAATGGCTTAGAATACCTTTGGGCACCCACTTTGAGTGAAATTTAATTTTTTTGAGGTACCCAAAAAAATCAAAAATTTCAAAACTTCATAAAATGGCTTAGAATACCTTTGGGCACCCACTTTGAGTGAAATTTATTTTTTTTGAGGTGCCAAAAAAAATAAAAAAAGATTTCTGGAGTAGAATTAGTCATGTTTTATCAAATAGATTTCTCCTCCAAAAATCAATTTCTGGCAAGAATTCCGAAAATCAATTTTTGGCAAGAATTTGATTTTTGAAGCAAAACGGTTGCCATTCGCTCTCTAGAGGTATCATTGTAAGTAGACAACGTATTTGGCACAAAACTACATTCGTGTGAATGGACGGCGTTGCTGAAACCGACCAATCGTTCGCCATAAAGCCCGTCATAAAACATAAGGTTAAAATTTTTTTTTTACTCATTGACAATTCGACTTCATCTTTTTGTTCGCGAGTCCATAAATTCCCTTAGATCAAGCAGCTGTCAGTGCTTCTTCGGGGGGTCAAAAAGAGATTGTTTATTCTTCGATTTTGGGGGGGTCAAAAGGAGATTTTTTATTCTTCGATTTTGCCCCCACTCCACTACGAAACTATCATGTCATTTTCATCCCTTTTCCCCCCTTTAACTTTTTTGTCGAAAAAACAAGGCATCCGGGGTTGCCGACATCAACGACACCAGCTTAAAGTTTTGGACCGACGAGCTAAATTTTTGGGAGCATGTTATTAACTTTAAATTAGCTTAAGTCAAAAGGGTAATGATATGGATGCATTACTTAACTTACAAATGATTTCGATAAGTAGCACAGTAAGCTATAGATAACGGGCTATATCCGTATATTCGACAAGAGCCCGTCGTATTAATTTTTTAGATTGGAATTTGTGGATAATTTTTTTTTTTTTTTTTTGCATTTCTATCCCGTCATTTAAGTCGGAATTTTTTCAACCTTCTATCCTGCTTCACACGATGCCGCAAATTCAACGCGTTAGGAAGTAGATGTATCCCCAAATCTTTATTTTCCTAACAAGGGAGCATAGCAATTCTTTTTGAGGAGAGGACAATCGTGCTCGATTTACAATCTCGAGTCAAGAGTAAGGAGATGCGATGTTAATTTGTTTACCATATGCACTTGCTAGGCGCACAAATTGTGATGGGTGGGTGAGTTTTGATTACACCCGGCGGCCTTAGATCAGCACGAGATGTTCCATAAAGTTTGTAAATTCTCGGCTTCTGAATAGCGAATATATGTAAACGTAGGTGACGAAATGGGAAGCGGATCAAACACCTGAGTGAGCGTCCCGCATCGGAATAAGGACTAAAGGAGTCGGCCACCCTCAAATTATGAAATCTCGGCCTGCGGTCAAGGGAGCATTCGGTATCTGATAATGCGCATGCGATAAGAATGCACATTCTGATTTCTATAGTTAGGTCTACATATCATTTTCACGAAACATACCTACCAGCCGAATACTTCTATTATATCGATCATCAAGTGAGGTTTGGATCCGATCCAATCCAATCTAATGAAACATAAATTTATTGGAACCACACCTAAATGACGAGCCCGAGCCAAGTAAAATCCGAGGGCCAAGTAAATTTGGCCCATTGGGCTTGTTAGGACCTAAATGTTGAAGAATTACATGGGGCAGGCCTAGCTTAACTATTGCTCCTCTCGAAAAGTTCCATTAAGTCCATATCTATCTAAACCCAATACTCTAAAAAACCTCAAACTTTAACTCTTGTCCTAATTTTACCTTTTATCTCATAAAAATCCTCCAACTTTAGGTCATGTCCCAATGTTGCCATAAATTTTTTTTTGTCTCATAAAAAAAACCTGAATTTTAGGTTCAGTTCCAATTCTACCTTAAACTTTTTTTGTTTCATAAAAACCCTAAACTTTCGGTTCAATACCAATTCTACCATAAAACTTTTTTTGTCTTATAAAAAATCCCAGCTTTAGGTCTAGTTTCAATTTTACTCTAATTTTTTTTGTCTCATAAGAGATCACTAATTTTTACTCAAGTCCCAAATCTGCCTTCCATTAACCGTCCGTCAAAATCGCCCTTAGTGATTTTATGCTCGGTCTTCAATCTCTCATGCTTAGGAATGTTCCAATTCTTGCAGTCGGAGAGCTTGCGCTCGGGACGCTCGAACAGCTTGTGCTTAGGAAATTTCCATCTCTCGATTGTCGATCAGAAATTTTGGACGGAGGGTTAATGGGGGTAGATTTGTGACTTGAGTAAATTTTGTGGTTTTTTATGATACTGTAAAAATGTTTGGGTAAAATGGAGACTATATGGTAAAATTGGGACAAAACCTAAAGTTTGGGGCTTTTCATAGGACAAAAAAAGTTTAGGGTAGAATTGAATCATGACTTAAAGTTGATGATTTTTTATGGAACACAAAAAAAGTTTATGATAGTAATGGGATATGACATAAAATTGGAGGTTTTTTATAAGACAAAAGGTAAATTTGTGACAAAAGTTAAAGTTTGAGGTTTTTTAGAGTATTAGGCCTATTTATTTAATAAATAAGGTGGCAGATTCAGATGCTTCAATGAAGTCCAGCAACTTAAATAATCACTTATAAACTATTCGAATTAATTTGGTGTACAAGTTTTAATATCCCTAATATTGGTCTTAATCTAATCACTATATAATTTTCATGACATGGTGGCCTCGAGTTGTGCAATACAACATGGACGTCCTCATGATCGTGAGGGGTAATTCCAGTTCCAACTGATGGACTCATGTTAATGTATTGATCTTAAAAAAAAAGACTTAAACTAAGATTTGTGCAACGAAAAGGAAAACCAAATTCCACTTTATAAATTCTTAAATACCAAATTCAATTAGTTCCTTAATTCAGCTTATTAGCCAATTCCTATTGGTCCCCCAAGATGCTCAGACCCTTGCTGGTCCGCCTAGCAGCGACACTCTCCTACAAGCGCCATCATCATCATCAAGGTTAGGCACCTGCACTTATCATGGTAATGGGCCTAATGGCAATCATGTCGTTGAAAGGAACTCGATCTTTGACCTTTTGCCCTTGACTAGATTCTCTCTCTCTCTCTTCTGTTCTGTGGGGGGATCACAGTCACAGTCGGCAGTAATCTTGAAAGCGGAAGGAGATGGATATCACCAAAACTTTGTTCAAACTTTAGGTTAACTGTTTCCGAATAGACCCAAAAGCAGAGGAAAAAGCTTCTCTTTCCTTTGAACCAGTCAAAACTAAACACAGAAGAGAGGGAGAGAAAGCTCGTCGGGATGGAAGCTTTGTCAACTGTCTGTTACCCTTTATTGTGGCCGAAGAGAATCCAATGGATCTTCATCTTTGCCTTCTGCTTTTGCATCACATTCGACTTGTGGGCAAACAAAGCTTCGATCCTTAGGTCCTTTCCTCCCTTTTCTGCTATGGATAACAAAGATATGTTGCAGTGAAAATAACGATGAGAAAAGCCATGAGTTGTAAAACATCCAAGCCCTACATCACATGGAATTTATAATGTCATCAAAAAAATCTAATGACCGAAAATTGTATATTCTTTGCGAGCATAGAAAAGGTCTTTAGTTCATAGCAAGTCGAGTTGAGTCGACCAATATACTCGAATTTTCAAATTTCTTTCGGTAAGAGTATAATCAGTTTTTTTTTTCCCCGAGAAATCATAATGATCCCAAGATTATCATCTCTCCCCCACCAAATCTTACGACGAGCTATTGAAATGGAATCCAAAAGAAAGAGGTAATGGGTGTGAAAGGCTGTGAAGATAACGGCTAGATTCTCTGACCTGTAATAGTTGCTATTTTCCATACCTACAATCACCTAGATTTGGCATGTACAAGGTAAAATCAGACTAGAACCATGAGGATGAACAAAAACTTGTCACAAGCACAGCCCCACATATTCCTTTGGATGGTAATAAGCAGAGTAGAATATGGAATATCTCGAAAATTTCTGTAACTGGAATGTCTTGAAAGATTGAATTTTTTGTTTCCCTTGACGTGGACTTCCCATTTTAGATATGGACCTTATCGTGGGGTCTAAAGCCATCAACGCTCTGTTGTCTTTGGTTTTGCCTCATCTTCTATAAATGAGTCAAGCGCTTACCTTTTCACAAACACTCTCCTATTCATAGTTTCATTGTCATTTCTCTCGCACATGGAGGAGCTGGGCTCTCTTTGGAGTCACCCACATGTAAGTCGCACTGCATCCTCATTGTCACCAATCTTCCTTGCTTCGATGTGTCTTTTACTGTGTGAGTACCATTAAATTCTGCTAAAACTGTTTGGCTCTCATACACCCCCTTCTGTTTTCCGCCGAATAATAGGATGTTGCACCTTGTTTTGTTGAAAATTCGAATGTTGAGGAAAAAAGGAGTAGAACTTTTGACAGTAGTTACTTGGGACTAGGATTTCAACAAAATGGAAGAGGAAGAGGATGTGGCAGAGTCGACATTTAGGGTGCATTTGCTTCTTCTAGCTTCGTCTGGAGCATCTCATACATATAATTTCTCATGCACATCTCAGTTTTCTTATGGCGACGTTGTTCTGCGGTACCAGTTTTTTTTTTTTTTTTGTGGCATCAGTTGGCAAGGTAGGATGTGTTCATTCTAATCTCCGTTTATTGAGGTGAGCAACCACTGCAAAATTAACCGTAAGTGAGTTGGATTTAGACAGTCGAGTCTGTACTGAAACCCACTTTAAGTTTGAAAGAAAATTGCCAAATGCAATGTAGTCTGCTCATCGCGATTCGATCTGCCTGTTGAGTTGACCAGTTTCTATGAAATGTAATCTCAATTGACCACAAAAGTGAGGATCTGAATGAATCCATTGGCCGTTGCAACATACTACTCGATCCGAGTTTGAAATTGTTGTCATTGGACTTGATTTTTATGGAACTTTCGATCCTCAGTAGCAGAATCTTAAGCATTTCAAAGAGGTTGGTTGGTGTCCCTATCTCATCTGCATGTTTTTTTCTTTCTTTGGTTGAAAGCATTGACTTTAAGTTTGATTTTCTTTTTTGGTTGCAATACTTACGCAGGTTTTTCTTTCTATTTCTCTGCATGTCTGTCTTTTATTATTCTTTGTTTGTCAAAATCCTGTTTCCGATAATGCGACGAATAGAGAAAATCAGGATGCAGATTCTCTGCATGTCTATCTTTTATGATCTTCTTAGGAACCCTCCTTTATTCAATTACTTACAGAAGCTAACACATTGCTTCCGTTTTTTGTATTTTCTGATTTGACAGAGCATGGATGAACTGAAGCAGATGATCTTGTATAACACCACTGAACTCGAGTCCGTGAAAACAAAAGCTTTCGACGAAACGAGAAAGAACAAGGAGAATTTGAAGCATCTGCTTCGTCTCCTGAAAACAGCGTACCAGGAAAGAGATGAAGCAAGAAATCAGCTGCAGAAACTCCTCAGAAACATCACTCCTAGTCCTTGCCCTTCAGGACTCCACTGGAGCTTCCTAGTACCACTACGAGCGAACCCAGTGACAAACCAAACCCATCACACCCCCAAATCAATTGACTACTATCCACTACACCTCTCTTCCGCCTCTCATTCTCCGCTCGGGGCAACTCCTCCGTCAAATTTCCTGAATGCTTCCGTGGCCGGTTCAAGTAATGATCCGTGCAGTGTCTCTTGCACTCCGGGTTTTTTAAATTCAGGAGAAGTCGATACTGTCGATCGAGCTTCGGATGTGATTGATGATCTTGTTATGGGAAAAGCACTTCCTGAGAGAGGCAAATTCTTGCAGGCCGTGATGGAAGCAGGTCCACTCCTGCAGACACTTCTTTGGTCAGGGACTCTTCCTAGGTGGAGAAATCCTCCCCCACTGAAACTCTTCAGCATTCCACCAGTTAACATCACCGGTTATGACCCTTTTCCGAGCGTGCAGGCTCACATTTCGGACTCTACTCACGCAATTCAGAGATTCACAAGCCCATCGCCAAATCTTGAAGCACCAGAAGTGTCTCCTGGGACATGCTCGGGGTCCATGCTTAACTTTATTGCTAGTTATTCTGGTTCGTCCCCAGGGAACAGCCGGATTTTGCCAGCAGGTGTTAGCATTACCACCAACAGCCAAATACACAGTAGCTATAAACGTCGAAAACTTCAATGAAGTCGCTGAACTTTTTTCTTGATAGGAAATATTGCCGAAATTTGGTAGTTATTTTTCGTTAGCTGAACCAGAAAAGGTCCCCCATTGAGCCTTGAGGTTTATGTAACTGTAAATGCACTAGTCAATTGTTATAGCCAGTTTTAAAGATAGTGCTGGATTCGTTTGTGCTTCCTGCTTTCATACAAAAGCTATGAACTTCGACTTTCCTTGATGTGTTCTTCCAAATATATCCCATCCTCTTCATAGACAGCACTAAACAATATGACATATGTTTCGCACCGGATGTTTTCTTTCTTTTGTTTCAAACCCGATGTCAATTCCCCAAATTTGTAATAGCAAATCAGGAATCTATACAGCCTAATAGCAGGAACAGGATCCTGAAACACAAACCAGAAGGCCTAGTCACATTAACGGAATGATAAAATGACTTAGCTTTCTCCGAAGGGGCCAACTTGAAGCACAGCATACCCCTTGGCTAGCGATGGAACAGCTTTTGTCTGAAAGTAGTTTTTGCTTAACTATAGCTGGGTTGAGATTTTAATGCTTAAAATTGTTACCCAGGCAAAAGATAAAATGAATCCGTTCACTTCAAAGCAGTCAACACTAAACATTCAACAGGAGGAAGGATGGGTGGACACCATCAGAATACAGCATTTGAGTAGAGTTGATGTCGAGGAAACATCTGCACTCATGAATTCTGGTTTTTGCTTCGATGCAAGTCTAATCACTCCACCACTTGAAATCTGAACTTTCAGACCGCAAAAAAATATTTAACTAAGTGTGTAGCATCACATTACAAATGAGTCTCCATTCTCAACTCCTCGACAAAATTGTCTTAACACTAAGAGAAGAATGATGATCAAACTGAAAAAGCGATTCCAACTTAAATAATGCCGATTTTGTTTGCCACATCCAGAGCATCAAAGTCTGGAGTCAGCCTAACATATGCCTTCTTCGTACCATCGGGCCTGCATCACAATAAAGATTCACATAGGTCCCGTTATTTTCAAAATTAGACAGAGAACAAGTTGCACTTCGAAAAAGCAAATCGAAAGACAACCAAAAACCGGATTAGAAGATAGAACAGGTAAACAGATTCTTACTTTGATGGGTTAGAGCAGTTCATACAAGAAAATTGCCTCAAGGCAAAACAAACACTCATAGAATGGCATATGAACACAGTTCAACACACCAAAGACAGACATAAAACAAAAGGCTTTGAAACTAGCACACAATATCCATAGGCGAGCCAAAATGGTCTACTGCTAGTCTACTGGCTCTTCTTATCCCCTTCAGTGAAATGCATGTCCACATTCTATAAGATTCAAAGACATTCAATGATAAAATCTACATTAACCGAAATATTAACAATCAAAACAACCATGCCACATTTAAGTTCAGACAAAACCATATAACAAGAAGTTAAAATTAACAAAGAGATAAATAAATTGAGCATGTGTTTATGTGAACCCATGCAGCCAGCTCTTATTCATGTTAACAACTACCCCAGGAGGAATGTTTTTATTCATCGGCAACAAACTAATATCAACCTATCTAGCTCTGTAACAATCCGATTTATACACCTATCAATTATCTAGGTAAACTTGACAATACTACGTAGGGATCAGCGCTTAAACAGTCCTACACACAACTACGTAGTCAGCAACTACGGAGGGATTACCTGATCAAGGTGTTGACTTTCTTGGCCTGAATATCATACATTTTCTTGACCGCATCCTTGATCTTCTTCTTATCAGCTCGGATGTCAACAATGAATACCAAAGTATTGTTATCTTCAATCTTCTTCATTGCAGACTCCGTAGTGAGGGGATACTTGAGGATCTGATAATGGTCAAGCTTGTTCCTTGGTGGGGCACTGATGCGAGGATATTTGGGGTTTCTGTCCTTCTTCAGGGTCCTCGGCCTGTGAAAGGTGACTGAAGTCCGGATCTTCTTAGCCTTCTTCTTGAAGGTCGGTCCTGATTTGACTGCCTTCGCAGCCTTCAAGGCCTGAGCCTTTGGATCAGACTTCTTTGCATTGTCAGCTGCAGGCGACAAGACACATACGATGAGTTTCTAAGGCTGAAATCACAATCAGAAACCCCATGTTTGCTGGTGAACCCCTCCAACAGCAAACCAACTATCCCCACACAAAATTACATGACGGACATGGTCAATTTTAGTTTTTTTTTGGGTCGAAACACTTTTAGTTCATGTAGCAAATAGCAATGATACACAGTCACAGGTTGCAGAGGGGAACTTCTAGCCTCAAGAACAGCATAAATTATAGCTTCCACATTGGCCACATATACGAATGAATCTACTCAGTAATTTCAAATATCAAGAAACGCCAATATCTACCCAACGACAGACACTGAGAAACCCACAATGATGGTAAAAGCCAAAAGCCAAAACAAGCATGACCGCAAGCTAAAGCGACCAGGTCAGGTGAACTTCACAGACACTGGGCGACGGCATCTTGCGATTGGCCGCGGCAACAAAGAAACTACAAACCATCCTGGCAGTATTTCTATGCTGTGACACCGGTGACATTCCCAAAACCAACGCCCTTTGGCAAACATTTTTGTTCGGAACAAACCAAAACAAGCAATTTAGCTGGCTCTGCCAAGCTAAATTGCACTACTACAGAGCTGAGCTAAAACGCAACACGAGGCAAATGTCGATCCATGCCCGCTAAACCATCGCCGCCATCGACAGTAACGAAGCTCATTCACCAAATCTCGAGCGACGGCGGCCACACACGCACGCAGAGAGAGACAGGAATACAAGCGGGCAAAAATCCTGAAGTACCTTTAGCAGGGGCCATGGCGGCTGGAGAAGGTGTTTCTGAAACCTCCGGGATCCTTCGAAAACCCTAACGACAAATGCAAGACAAGATTCCATCAGTACAACTTCCATCGGCATCAAAGACATAGCGAGAGAGAGAGAGAGAGAGAGACCTGCCGCCGGTGGACTGCTTTGGAGACGTCGTCTAGGGTTTTTTCCGGTGGGAGAAGAAGATGGGTTTATATGCGCCCACATATTGGGCCGTTGGAGCTTCGTCGGCCCATTCGATTCGGCCCACATATTGGGATGTTTGGTTTGCGCGCGATAGAGATTCGTGCTTCTTCACCGGTTAGAAAAATATGAAAGGGAAAATGATACAAATGATTTTGGAACTTTGGTTCAATGTGTAATCTGATCTTCGACTTTTTAATTTGTTCAATATAGTCTCTAAAATTTAGCTCAATGTGTAATGTTGTTCCTAAACTTGTAATTTATTCAATGTGGTCCATGAACTTGAATTAATGGAATAATATTGTTGAATATTTCTATATGGTCAAGAAACTAACTTGAACATGTATTAAAAGTTTAGAGACCACATTGAACAAATCAAAAGTTCGGAGACAACATTGCATATTGGACTAAAGTTTAGAAACTACATTGAACAAATTAAAAGTTCAGGGGCTACATTATACATTAGGTCAAAGTTCTGCGACTATTTGTGTCATTATCCTAATATGCAATTAATTCCACGATAAAAATATAGTTATACAACAACAGTAAAAAAAGCAAAATAAAAAATTGATTAACGCCTCCGAATAATTTATGTAACGTAAACAAGTCCAGCTCTCATATGATTTGAAAAAAATAGGAAAGCTGCCGGACATTTTTTTTTTTCCTAACTAATCCTATTTATTCACTAAGATCACTACAAACACGAATTTTCTTGTAATCAAAGGCACTCTAAACTCTAAAGCTTCATGATTTGAATCGAAAGATTCGGGAATCGCATCACAAAAAGTTTGAGTGAATTTAGATGAGCATTGGCATTGGAGATCTACAGCTTCGTAATGTCTTCAAGTGAGATCTCGACGGGAAATTCATATCAAATAATGAAATAACCATGAAATACAAAAGAGAAGGATATGAAAACCGGGATTTTGATAAATGAACGAGTACAATCACAGGTATGTACATGACCGCAGAAAATTGCGTCTCCGTGCTCATGCATCAAAGTGTGCTTTACTTTTTGACCGAAAAAAAAAAAGTTGTGCTTTATCCGATCACCCCCATCCATTCATCCATCCTCCATCATCTGTAGTTTGATCGAATGTCGAAGCGGGAACAAGCGGTCCGATGAGGTGCGTCGCCATATAGAACGACTCAAAAGTCCCAACTCTTTGTGGTACGAATGAGCACCTGTCCGCATTATATCGAGGCTGTGGACAATTCACGAAGCCCCCGTCGAACCGTCCTCGCCCGTTCTTGGATCGACGAATCCGGAAAGCGGTCCTCGAATGTCGGAGCCGTAGATATGACCCATTTTCATTCGCTTTGTCTCCAGGTACCTCTTGTTTTCCTCTGTAATGGGTGTCAGCACAGGAACCCGGCCTATAACGGCTAATCCGTAGCCCTTCAGGCCAGCGAACTTGGCCGGGTTGTTGGTCATCAGCCGCATGGTTCGAACTCCAACATCTCTCAGAATCTGATCCATTTTCGATATTGCAGAACTTAGAGAGAAGTCTGGTGAACAGACAATATGGCATGGCAAAAGCATCACCAATTGACTGCAGAAACCAAAAAACTACTATATGCAGTAGCAAGCAACTGTTCCAATCTTAACCTATAAATTAAAGGCTGTTCCTTTCTGTACATGATCTGTAGAAACATTGGTTTCGCGCTACTCGCCGATTTAATGAAATTATCTTTCGCAGTATGGTTCTTAGTTAGAAGATTAGCAGAAATTACTGATACCATTCAATGGTCTATTGCTTAAATGTAAAATTGTCAGTTCCCCAACTTCTGAGCATCAAAAACTTCAGCAGTGTTTCTTCTTGACTTACATTTGTTACATACCAACACATGAACCATCTTAACAGCACCTTACAGATCTCGTCGCTGATGGTTCAGTCTAGATTATCATCTTCCTTTTTGGGTAATTTGAGTAGGACTCACACAGTCCTCCTCGTATTATATGTTCACTCGTCCTTCCAACCCGCTCTATCATTTGATATCACATGCATTAGTCTAACCTTGCTATTGATATAACTGAACTAAGAGAAGAAGGTGAAATGCACAGACCTGGGCACCAATGCCATATTCTCGGGCATCGACTGCTAACCCTAGTTCTAGATTGGCCTGAACTGTATCATGACCCTGGTCTTGCAAATTATATGCCTGCAGCTTGTGACCCAGGCCAATCCCTCTTCCTTCGTGACCTCGGAGATAGATTACAGCTCCCCTACCAGCTTTCTCTATTAATTGCATTGCCAAGTCCAACTGGTTCCCGCAATCACACCGAGCTGACCCAAATATATCCCCTGTTAAACACTCGGAATGAACCCTCACTAGGACGTCTTCCCCATTACCAATGTTCCCCTGATTATCATTCATACAGGTAATCGAGAGTATCACGTAAAAGGATTAAACAGTCGACATAGTCGGGAAAACATAAGGAGTGAACTTATAACTCGCACGGGACCTTTACAATAGCTATGTGTTCTGTCCCGTCAAGCTTGGAGCGGTAGCAGTAAGCTTGGAATAATCCCCACTTAGTAGGCAAACGTGATATGGCAGTTCTTTCAACCAGTTTTTCCCTCTTTCTTCGGTACCTGAGAGAAGAACCCCACCACCCATCATGAGTATAACAAAAAGGACGATGTCTCATTACCATAAAACAGATCAAAATTACATTGTCACCATATTGCTACTTAAGTAGTAGGTTAATGTTATGAAGTTTTAACAGTTTGAATGGTACCGACTAACCCCAGAACATAGAGCGTGAAGAAATTGATTACAAGAGATAGTTCCGAGCATCATTCTCTAAGTAAGATGAGCTCCTATATATAAATTTTCAGGCTGAGTCAATCTTTTGGTCTAAAATGTTAACCTTTCTATTTGGCGAATTCCTCCGTTCAATCTCTTTCAGGTGATTTTGTCTCAGCAAAGGAAATTTGCGGATGTAGTAGAAAAGAGATCTTTGAGTAATTGAAGAGTAACAAATGATGCGTCACCTAATCAAATCTGTTATTGAAACAACTGGAAGGCTGTACTGCAATGCCAGCTTTCTCAAGTTGGGAAGAGAAGCCATGGAACCATCTTCTGCATCCATTACAGCCGTAAGAAGAGAAACTGGTCGCAGGCCAGCAAGCATAACTAAGTCCACCGAAGCCTCAGTATGACCAGCCCTTCTTAGGACACCCCCATTTCGGTACTTGAGGGGAAACACATGGCCCGGCCTTCTGAAGTCTTCTGGCTTGAACTCAGGAGATGAAAGAGCGAGAACCGTCCTCGCCCTATCAAAAGCAGAAACCCCTGTTGACGTGCCCGATTTTGCATCCTATGCAGGCACAAGACGTAACTGGCGTTATCTTTATCACCGTTAACTACTTTCAACAGCTTTCTAAAGTGGCAGATATAGTCAACGCATGCATAAAAACTCGAGAAAGCTGCATGCTTAAAGGCTATACCACGGTGATCGTGAAGGTGGGAGCAGACGAGTCCTCTTCCTCGGTTTCGGGTGACATCAGAGGAAGCTTCAGTCTCTGAAGATCCTCCTCTTTCATGCCAACAGAAATTATTCCAGAACCATGCTTCACCATGAAGGCCACATCGCGAGGAGTTGTAAGAGGGGCTGCCATGACAAGGTTTCCTTCAGTATTCCCACTTTCATCGTCTACCACAATCACAATCTAAGAACGGGCAATGATGGTTAACAGTATGTTCATCGTGCTCAGGCTAAGTACAAAAAGGAAAAAGAAAAGGTTCATTGAGTTCGGAATTTAACAGATATCTCTGCATAATTGTGGAATCCGTTACAAAATCTTGCTAGGGTGTACTAATATTGTTCATCTAATAACCGTCTTCTTCATTGACAACCAACACCAGTTTCGGGCTCACGGACAGGTATAGCCAAATTTCTTCTGCATAAACTCTTGAATGGTAGTGAAACGAAATCTGTGGAAGAAATGCGAACCAACTAGTGCTTTCTCTGACCTTTCCTTCGCGCAGAGAATTAAGCGCCTGCTCAATCGAAGAATACCCTTCCGATGGGCAATCGGGATCGCCCTCGGCATCGCTGACGAAGAAATCGATAGTCTCCTGTGTGATCTCGGCATCCACAGTCCCAAATGGCACCGAAGCCGAATCCTCAAGAGCGCTCAACAAAGAACCATTTTCACTTCCCTTCAGCAAACTCTCGCCCAACAGGTCTCCCGCCTCGCTTCCTACAGCCCAACAAGCAGAGCTCAAACCCCGCTTCCTGTACACTCCAATCCTCGCGCTTTGATGAGCTGCGAGAAACACACGAACACTGCAACAACAGAACAAGAACCCCAACATTATCATCACAAAAGGGTAAGCGAAACAAGCCTTGTTCCAGCGAATTCAACCTCGACTTGACGGCTACGCGAGGGGAAAGAGGACGAGGGAACAGAATGCATTCCATGAACCGCAACAGCAGTTCAAGAGACGTGCTTTCAAGATTGTATCTTGTTGTTCTGTCTGGTTTCTTGACGAACTTGCCTTCATGATTTTGCGTGCATATAAAGCAGAAAGTACGGCCTTTGGTTCTGGATATATGCTCGTGGACGTCGCCGAGACCGTTATCCGGAAGTTTTAACTGAAATTGTACGGAGACGTTCTAACCACGTGCCCAGGAATCACCATTGTAGTCGAAGGTTAACTAGCTTCACAAGTTATACTTCTTCTTTTTTCCTGATGCTTCGTGTTTTTTTCTAAAAAAAACATGATACAAATAGTTTTTGAATTTTGACTCGATATACAGTGATCTTTAATTTTTAATTTGTTCAACGTGATTCACAAACTTTAACCTGATGTGTAATATGGTCCTTAAACTTTTTGTGCATGTCCAATTTAGTTCCTGAACTATATGAAAATGTTCAATATTGTCTCTTATCTTGAATTAATGAAAAGATAATATTGAACATTTTCATAAGTTCAGGAACTGCATTAAACATTTATTGAAAGTTCATGGACCACATTAAACAAATAAAAGTTCAAGGACCACGTTAAATGTTTTACTAAAGTTTAAGGATTATATTGAACAAATTAAAAATTTAGAGATTGGTACCGCATTGCACATTAGACTAAAGTTCATAAACTATTTATTTCACATCGAACAAAATCACTTAACTAAAGCCTTGCTAGATCGGGCGAGCTCGCCTATCGTTGGCGTCTGGTTAAGAAAAAAGCGAAAAGAAAAAAATAATTAAAAAATATCAATTTTTTTTATATTTCTCTCCATCAGATTTTTCTTAATAAATAAGGGAAAATACTTTTCAGGTTTTTTTTTCAGGTTTCAATTAAATATCGAAAAAAATATATTTTTCAGGAATGATATATTTTTCGGGAAACAAATCACCCTAAAAATGGAAAACAAAACAGAAACTTTACAAAATCGCCCCGACCCCACCTCCTCCTGCTGACGTGGCAAGCATATACCCCTCCTTGAATTTGTTTCCGAGAACCGGAAAATAAAATAAAATGAGAAAAAAGGAGTTAGAAAATGCAACTGAACGCAAGAGAAATAACAGCAGTGGAGACGAGGCAGCGAAGAAGACGATCATCGTCGTCGCGTCGCCCAAGCACTCCCCTCCAATCGAATCGGACTTCGCTCGAGCTCCTCTCCCTCCGCCGCGCCGTTGCCCTAGCAGAGATCGATCGGTCGGTCGGTCCGGTCGTCGAGGCTTCCGATTTTTAGGCCGCCGAGCAGTCGCGAAGCGCGTCGGCTTCCTCCCTCGCGAAGCGGGTTCCGGAGCTCGAGCTCTTCCGTCGCAGGCCGACGCGGCATTGAGAGCTGTCGATTCTCCGGGGAGAGATTTCGTGGATGGTTTATGGCCGAAGAAACGACGGCGCCGGCGGTGGGGAGAGAGGACGAGGGCAAGAGCAAGAGCAAGCTATGGAAGGGCGTTTTCGCCGTCACCGGAATCATGACGACTCTCGTCATCTACGGAGTTCTGCAGGTTTCTAATGTCGCGTCTTCTAAATAGAATGAATGCATCTTGACACGTTGGCTGCGTTTTTCCTCTTTGGTGATGTGTGAAATTGTCCTACGGTGGAGCTGGATTTTGGCGTCGATAGGGAGAAAAGATTTTTGCATTTCTCGTGTCAACGAAATTCTTTTGGCGGTTCGTGTGATTTTATCAATAAAACTTTAACTAGTTGGCTAGCGTTTTTAGATTAGAAGTGGAGTTGGAGAAACGCTGGCTCGAAAGTTGAAGACTTGCTATGTGGATCGCGTCGATACTCAGTACGCTGACCTAATTGTGTTAGGAGATGCTGAGTTTCTGACAGTTTATTGCAATTGTTGGAATTATTTTATTGGATCTTCGAGCTGACCGCTTTGAACTGGTTTTGGGCTCTCTCATTCAAGTTCATTAGTTTGAGAGCTAATATGGGTTTGCCTGTGCGCCTTCGATGGCCAATGGCCATGATATGGCATCATTCAGCTCCAATAAATTTGTTTAAACTGCTTATGGAGAGCAATTCTATACAAGGATTCTGCTCAGAGAGCTCTGAGAGTAGTTGAAAGCCTGTAGAATGTATATACATCTAACCAATTGTACAATGATGATACTTGATTAACTGGCTTTTTTACATATTCCAGAACTAGCAGAGTTTGCTTCAGATTATTTTGTTCAATCTGTTCTTTTTATGGCTATAGTTATCTAGCTCACTGATATAAATACAATCTGCAAGTGATTATGTTGAAATCTGTACCTTTTGGACTTGAAAGGCTGTCTTCCTTTCCGGACCTTTCAAAATGAATCTATTTTCTCTGTTTTATTATTCTTATCTCTGTGCTCTCTGTACCCCTTTATCCTTTTGCATTGTCATCTGCAGTTGCTTATTGTCTTTTAATTTGTTTAAAGTCCTTTCATGCAGGAAAAGATCATGAGAGTGCCTTATGGTGCTGGGGCAAATCAGGAATACTTTAAGTATTCTCTGTTTCTCGTGTTCTGCAACCGTATCGCTACATCTGCTGTTTCTGCGGGTGTTTTGCTTGTAAGTTGAGATTATCTGCATGCTGCTACCTTATGTAATCTGTCTATGGGGAATAGATGCCTGTTGAAAGGACAGTAGTTGGTGCATAAACTTTTTTCAATAGATGGATGTTACTTATACCATGATGGTACAAGAGTAAGCTGCTGGGTATCTTAGGCTGGTGGGGCAAAATATGTTCTGTTAGGCATATAACAAATTATATTGGATCAATTTTTCATTATTCCTGCCAGTTATGGTCATATCTTTCGTTTTTTCTTAGGCAAGTAAGAAGGCCTTGGACCCTGTTGCTCCAATTTATAAATATGGCCTCATATCAATATCAAATATCCTGACAACAACGTGTCAGTATGAGGTAAGATGTGCCGTTTTGCTTAATTATATTAAGATACTATAACTGTTAACAAATTAACATGTTAGTTTTATCGCAAATTTTCTAGTGAAGAGGCATGAATTAGATCACGCACATAAATAGATGTACATACACATGGACATTTCTGACAGCACATTCTTTCTGTAGGCACTGAAGTACGTCAGTTTTCCTGTTCAAACTCTGGCAAAGTGCGCAAAGATGATACCTGTCATGGTGAGCTTAATAATACCAACACCTTAAGAAAATTGGTTATATCTTTTTCTTTTCATGATAAGCCTGTGCTGGAAAAGTTTACATCTCTGTAAATCATGTATCTAATTGGCGAGAGACAAAATTTGTCCAATTAATAAAGTTTTGATGTACAATGTCCTAATGACTTCAATTGTATAGATATGCCTAGGTGCATGCTGCTGTTAAGTGAATCCACCTATTTTTACTTAGCTGAATGGAGGTTTTTGAAACTTTGCTAATTGGACAGTTGTTTGCCACATTTAAAAGACACAAAGCTTTGTCTTTGAAAAAGATACGATCAAGAATTAGTCATGTTTGCAGATTGTCCATGACCTCGATCATTAATGATCAATATGAGCTGTATTTTTTCATCACCAGATGAAACATATGCTATTTTCCCATGCTCTTTCCAGTTAATCTGGTAGGTCCACTAAAGTTAATAATCACCAAGTTGTTTTGGGGTGGAAAATATTAATATTCTTACTTGATTATTGATTTATTACAAGCTTTGTCCAAGTTCTTGCTACCGCTAGAAACTTTAGTGTTATATATGCAGGATCAATGCTTTATCTTGAGTGGTAATTTGCAAACTACGCTTTTCCTTCGATTTTCTGCAGGTTTGGGGAACAGTAATCATGCAAAAGAGATACAAGGGACCTGACTATTTGATAGCTTTTCTGGTGACACTGGGGTGCTCGATATTTATTTTATATCCAGTATGTATCGTGGTCCCAACCTATTTTTTTGACCTCTCTCAGTTGTGTTTTGACTACACTACCTCTATGTTCCTTTGAGTTGCTGTACAATTTAAATCTATGAAAGATGTGAGCTTGCTATTTTGACTTAAGATATAACAAATTTGGTGGGAGTTTTCTTCCCATCTACACTAATTATTGCAGCATAGTTTAGAAGCATCCTTATTGAAAAGAAAAGCGGTATTCTCTGCAGTAATTGATTTGATTTGAGCTTTAGATTTGTACTTTTTAGCTTCTTTACCAACCCACTTATAGTTGCTTACGTGTTCTAGTAGATTTAATAGGTAGCATCTACTTTACCCTATTGAACTTCTGAATACATTAGTTAAATGTGAGATTAGTTTCTATGCATATTTGTTATCGCATCAGACATATCATCTTTTCTCCTTCTATTGGTACTCATTTTTGTGCAATGTGTTAATTGTCTTAGCTGTAAAAAGTTCACTAAAATACAAAAAGTACCTTGGGCTTAAATGACTATTGTTATCACTTGCCTAGCAAAAGAAAATGAATTTTGTCAAGTTGTTATTAATTCCTATTTCCTTAGTATTTTTTAGTCAGTTCTTTGACATGTTGCCGTGTTCTCATCCTATCTAAGCTCATTTTCTAAGGTGTTGCTCTATAGGACACCAGCATCCACCTCGATTTAGCAAAGCATTCTAATAATGATTTTCCAGATTAGGTTTAGCAGGTCTATTATTCTACGATTCTGTGACCATTGTAATAACCCCTCAAATTCTCCTTTTTACTCACCTTTTGAAATTCTTGCTCGGTACAATGGGACTTACTTGTTCTTTGGCATCTGAAAGCTCAAAACATCTGAGAGTGAGTGATATAAACCTATGAATGTCAAGCTTAAGAACTTGAATCCATGGTGCTTGTAATGGGATAACTTAAAAGAACTATTTCTCTACTTTGGCTGATGGCTGTCCGTTTTGCTAGTCACTGATACGGTGCCGCATTGAAAGATAGTAAGCAGCATTCTTGTTTGTCTATCTTGTGGTTTGACCGTGCAAATTTTCCAAGTCTCATTTCTCCCTGAAGTGTGAGATTATCGGCTTACTTTTTTTGCCCAGAGTAAACTAGATGTACTATTACCTCCAGACTTAGAAAGGAAGAGGCAGATAGAAGGTGAAGTGCTAAAATGGATCGTTCTGGACATTCTTTGGTTGGTGTGGAGGAGGAATAGAAGAATTCCAAATTTA